TTGGTTGCCTCTATCTTTCTCCCACTCTACTCGTACATCAGACAACACATCGAAGTAGTCGGTGGTGGTTAGACATACATCATATTCACTTCAACTGGTTAAGATTCATTACTTCATCAACTGATTTGCCAACCTTATCTAGTACACTTTTTCTAACAGCAGCCTTGCTTACTCAATGGTTCCAAGATATACGAGTGTAAGATCCATTTTTTGAAGGCCTTGTTTGTGAAAATCCTTCCATGTATATATTTGCGATTTGTCCTTATTGATTCCTTTAGTTGTACATTTTGTTAATCTGTTCGATTCCATTTGAAGTGGTAATATTTGTATTTTATTTTAGTTTCTATTTCTTCTTATGCCTTTATTGAGATTTTATGTTTCTTTCTGAACTGAATTTTTGTTGTTTAAGCTGATACTTAGTCATGGCGACAGCCATATTGATTGATTTGTTACTCTTTTGATTGGATTGCTTACTACTGACTGGAATTGTGCATTTTTTGAATTGTGAATTGAAGCACCCTTCCAGAATAAGAAGCACTCTGTGTTATAAAGCAACCAAATATTATCTGTCTAAAGAATCTGATCTATCCAGGAGGGATAGAATATCAGTTATTTGAATAATTGAACAATTGTTGTTGGAATGACTAAGTGGTAACATTGTTTAGGTAATGATGTAAATATATATATATATATATATATATTTATGACGAATATTAGAACCGCATTTACCCAATCACTTGTTTTTGGATTTCAACTGGGCAAGACGCGTATCTTAACTACCTAGACAGTTATTCCTCAGTCCAAACTTCAGTTTGGATCCTACAACGAGTATTCCTCTAAAGACACCATTAATCCAATTCTAGTAATCGACGAGAACCACCTAATCTTTATGACCACGTTTCATACTTGTAAATTAGTAGACGACGCGAACTACTGAGCAGTAAACTTGCCTACGCGCTATAAGTGATACATACTGACAGAATTCAGTTGAACTTTCTGTAGTTCGTGCCGAGATTTCATCAAACTTGCTAATTCACTTGCGATTAGTTCATTTACAAAAAATTATACTCCTAACAAATTTATTTCAAATCAACAACAATCAGGCAGACAGATAGATACGACGCAGAACTTTGTACGTGTAAGTACATCAGTTCAGGTTGCCATGCCCCATCAGCACAGAGACGCCACAGTGAGTTCAAATCCAAGAGTGATAGCAATAATAGAAGTATTAGTAGTAATGGAGAAGATTAGGGAGCGAAGATATGATTCGAGAAGTATAATTCAGTAAGATAAATTTACAAGGAGAAAGGTAGAGATTATGAGGAATTCAGAAGGTTAGAATTTCAGAGAACACAAAGAGTGTATGCACCTTTGAAATGGTAAACGACTCTGAGCCTAGTCGTTCAAGGTCTCTAACCATCGGTGACTTTCGTCTCACAGACCCCAACCAGGTAGCCTACATCTACCGACATGACTCAAACCACTTGTCAGTGACTTCATAGATTTCTGCCATGTTTTGGTTCAGCCGCCTCTAGCTTTCTTCCAATCTACTCCTACACCACAAAACATCGCTCGTCAAGGCAGTTGGTGGTTGGACATTCGTAACACATGTCTCAACCACCTCAACTGATGAAGTTTCAATACTTCATCTATTGATCTGCCATCCTTACCTAGCAACAACTGCAGTGCTTACTCGTTTGTCCCAGGATACACGAGCAATGTTTAATGCTTTCGAGACACCTATGATCGAAAACAAGCAACCTACAAATATTTTCTACTCTGACTGGCCATGTTTTACAGCCGTAAAGTAGGACGGAGCGAACGACTGCGCAGTACACTCATCCTTTAGTCAACAAACAAATATCTCGCATACACCATAAGCGACATAGGTCGGCGAAGGTCTTGAACCAGCCTGGTTTTCTCTTGACTGCGCTTCACGAGCTCTACCTAGGCGTCTAAGGATAATCGAGGCTAACAATTTAGAAACTATGTTAGTTAGACTTATTCCCCTGTGATTGTCACAAAAAGACTTTAGTCCTTTCTTATAGATTGGGACAATCAGTGATTGAGGCCACAACAATCAGCCATTATTATTGATATTATTATTTTTGGTCAATATCAATGTAACATTTAAATATTCTCGAATGTATTTAAACCACCGACAACAACAACACAAAAATTTTTAGATTAAAAAAGCACACACACTGGATACATAAGGTTGTAGTGAACGAGAACACAGGTGGGGCAACCGAATTGTATTTAACGCAATTTAAAGAGTTACTCAGTAAAATTGGAAAACCATATCGTAAATCGTTCATTTGCAAAATATCAGTCCATCATATCGAACTGGACTGTTCCTGTTGCAAAACATCAATCCATTGTCACTCACTATTCATGCGTTTCATACAAATTACATTGTGTTCCCCCTACTCTTCCTTTCTTGATCTTCCCCCATCTTCTGCTGCTAGACATTGCGTTGACGCTCAAGTCATATACTACTTAGAAGTAGCTCGCACCACAAGGTCATCATAATATTTTCATTTAGAGTTATAGAGATCATGAATCAATCATTCTGAAACCATCATTAGAAACCTGAAAGCACTGTTCAAACGGCCGTTTCCTGCTGCCTGATACGGGACTCATCAGTGACAGTGCGCACCCACAACTCCTGCATCTCACAGGATTCGAACTCGGGACCTTCGGTCTTGTGTGTGAATGCCTAACCTCTCAGAATAAACATAAGTACAAACATTACTGATTGTTGACCAATTTCATGGTGTACTGACACACACACACACACACACGTATACATCACATGAAATACAAGTAGAGTTATCAGGTTCTATATATGGAGATGAATCTGATTGTCGATCGATATGATATTCGAATAGAGTGAGTGAGTCAGTGAGTGAATGAATGAAAATGATCATTATCATCTAACTTGAATATATTTCAGGATATAATGATCAAAATGAAATTCAGTTCGAAATTTGTATACAAATGATTTTGTTGAAAAACACATGACTTAAACGTCATTAGTGTGAACAACATGTGAATTGAAGTTTGAACAAAGAACACACATTTGAATTATACAAACAATGATATATCATATTGAGGTAAGAATAAATAATACCTTGCTGTTGATATTGATGTAAAGTATAGATTATAGTTTAAACATGTTATGGCCTAACATGGATTCATAGACACAGTTGGCCTTCAGCGATTAATAAACATACGAGGTTGAGAAGACTGATATGCTATGATGCTTGACAGTTAGGTTCAATGGTTCTTAGCCTTGAACAATGAGGAAGAACACATGATTGAGATGGTAGAGACTCGTCATATGCATGAACAAACTGTCCACTTCTATCAACTAAGTGCAGGTAGCTAGCTACCTACATGATATTGAAGAGTAGGTAGAATAGAGCCAATAATAGAATCCAGTATGCATTTCACAGTTCATATTCATTCCCAGACATAAACCTAGCACCGTCTGCTTCAACTACTATCACACTGTTCACTTCTATATCTACTGAGTCCTGGTAGTCACATACTTGTACAACGGGAACGAGACTGAATTCTATTTATCCACACATCTATCTATCTATCTATCTATCTCAGTCAGTCATTTACAACGTGGAACTTCGTAAGTACATCAGTTCAGGTTGCCATATCATATTATAAGCACAGAGATGCGATTGTCACATCGAATCCCATAGTTGTAGACATAGTAGAAGTATTAGTCGTAATGGAGAAGATTAGGATTAGAAGATACTATTCAGCGAGATAACTTAAGGAAGAAAAAGATAGAAATGATGAAGAATTTAGCAGATGAGAATTTGTGAGACGACTAAAAATAGAAGCACCTGCTGATAGTTATTTTCATAACTAATTGTAGTTATGTCATAACTAACCAATCAGATTGTGGTTTAAGCGCCCACCACGTGATCTGGTCTGACGTGTCTGTAAACTTTCTTCGATGTAAATGACCTACAAGTTGAAGGACATTATTATCACTATTGGTGTAACTCATCATAACTGTACTCATTCCCATAAGACACGCTACTATTGGTCGGTACGTTTGCTCGTCTTACTTAATAATTGTAATTTCCTTATTTACTAATGTAAATGTTTTTTATGTTTAGAAACAGATAAAGTTTCAAGTAAAAGTTGATATTGTTCTGACTCTATAGCTTTCCCATAGACTCTGTGCTTGCCAATATTACGTTTACAGTTCTAGAAGTACATCTGTAGGACAAATTAAATCCTACAGCTGCACCATTGCAAACGATTTCGAGCCATGTCGTTCAAGGTCTCTAACCATCAGTTTCTATCGCTACGCATACCTCAACACCTACAGACATGACTCAGCCCACTTATCAGTGACTTCCAACCTACTCCTGAACCACAAAACATCGCTCGTCGAGTCAGTCGGTGATTAGGCATACGTAACACATGTCCCAACCACCTCAACTGAAGTTTCATTACTTTATCAACTGATTTGCTATCCCTACCTAGGATCCGTTTCCTAACGATGGCATTGCTTACTCGGTTGTCCCAGGATATACGAGCAATGCTTCTTAAACATCTATGATCGAATACTAGTAACCTACGAACATCTACTCTTAACGGCCATGTTTCGCATCCTTATAGTAGGACATAGAGAACTGCTGCGCAGTACACTTGTCCTTTGGTTAGGGTGATGCAGGTTGAAAAAGGCCAATCAAGACTTCTGTATCCTTGCTGAAATTTCATCAGTCACCAGGCCAACTCGCGCTGATGAAACTTTCGACACCCTCAACTACTTCACTCCATCGTATCACACCAACTAGTTCAGGTAATTACTAATCATGTTTAACTCTTGTGCAGAAAACAATCACCATCACCATCAACTTGATCATGACGTCATTATGCGCGCCCCGACGGCGGGGGGCAGCCGGTGTGTGTGTATGTCTGTATGTGTACTAAATACGAAAAAATAACACCACAACACAACACAATCAAAAATAGAAATAAACTGAATTCATGAATGAAATAAAATGAAATTAGAAAACGAAAAAAAACAAAACAAGATGAATATTATTGATTCATTGAGACAGAAGAGAAAATCAATAATAACAATAATAATAATAATAATCATATTTTAAAAATTGTACATACATTTTGAGAGAGAAAAAAAAACAACGTAGCGGAGAAAGAAAAATACTACTTAAATAAAGAAATAAGTAGATAATTTATTTATTTCAATGTTTGATTTGTATGAATCATCGTCATTGTATACAGAAAATGTAATCGATCGATTATAAAACAAAGAAGAAAAGTTCAAGTTGATTATATGCAACGGGAGAATGAGTGTGAATGAGTATGATTGACAAATTGATTGATTGATTGAATAATTAAAAGAGGGAGAAGATAGTGGATTTCGCTAAAACGATTGTGGTCATCTTGGACAACATATGATCCATCTAGCTAGTTAGCTAGCTAGCAGCACCAGGGTCATAAAACACACACACACAAGTCAGGGTTCAAATAAAAACTGTGTTTATTCTTTTAAAAAAAGGAGTCGGTCGATGTGTACGCGTGTGTGTGTGTGTGCGTGTGTTCACATTGGATTGCATGCAATTTTTCGCCAAATGATAGATAGATAGGCTTGTTCCAAAATAAAACAACACATGACACCCTACTAGATAGAACAAGATGGCAAACAGTACACATTTGTGGGGGGCGGGAGAGACACAATGACCACCACGACGGGTGGAGACGAAAAGAACAACAGCAGCAGTAGCAGGCAGAAGAGCATACACACACAAAATAAACAGGGAGGGGCGGCGGGGAAAGTAAAACCGGTCGGTATTTATTTATTTACAAATGACTATTACAAAACAAACTCAATATCGATCAATAATTAGAAATAAAACAGAAAACAAGAAAAAAAGAAAACGACCAATTCCTTAAATCATAAAAACACATGATTCAAATGATTGTAAATGTGAATGAATGTTGAGAATGACAGTTGACATTCGACTGTGAACTACTAGTGTAATAATATAAAAATGCTCCAAAAAAGAATTGTCGAAGTAAGAAAAAGTAAGGTGGGATGACCGCACGAGGTCATCATTGTGCACAAGGATGATGACGATGGACGGACGGACAGACAGACAAACAGACAGCAGTTAGAAAGTCAATTTGAAAGTATCATCATATATGTATATCAGGCGCTTCATGAGTAAAGAAAATAACCTGGGTGTGGGTGTGTGTATATAATGGCGGACTGGTTGAATGGTCGAGTAATAGCGCAGTAGTAGTAGTAGTAGTGCATGTAAGTAGTATAGTTCGACAGAGCAAAAAACACAAACAACAAACAAATCACGGCAGAATGAAACGAAGAATTGGAACTGTATAGGTCAGGCGCTCACAGTGTATGTGGGTCATAGGTGTCAACACGTAAAGAGAGTACTGTAAAAGAAGGCAGACAGACAGACAGACAAACAAACAAACAACTTTATTTGATGTTAAAGAGAAACGCACCAAATGTATCAGATGTAAAAACCTTGAAAAACCGGCGGGAGAAACACAACTCGATTGCCTATTTATTACGATGACTGCTGCTGCTACTACTACTAATACTACTTACTCTGTGAAGCATAAGTAGTATAATATATTATGAACAAAGCAAATGAAATGTAGATAAGAAACAGAAAAGAAGAAAAAACACAGTTTTTTTAAAAGAAAATTATTAATGAAATTAAGTTATGACTACTATCACTGGGATTGATAAATACTACTACTAGTACTACTACTAATTATTGGTGTACTACCATTACTACTAGTAGTAGTATTAGTAGTATTCGTAGTAGCACAACAAATAGCTGTGTTTAAATGAAGATGATAATTGTGAAAAGGCATAAATCTTTTTAAATTATTATTGTTATTAATACTACTACTACTGATAGTGGTAGTAGTAGTATCATGATTCTGTGCTAAATCGGACGGAGATGATGATGATATACAATAATTCATTGTGTGATTCTCTTCTCCAGTGCTTGTTATAATGACAGACGGAATACATTGGTCAGGACACGATGACCGCATCATGGTGCTCTCATGTACATAAAAAGGTGGATTCGGCTTTTCCAATGACACAGCAACAGTTGTTGTCGGTGTAGTATTAGCGATAGTCGTAGTCGTAGTGGACAGTTGACTCGATGGAAATAATAGAAAATCCGATGATTTCGACGCGGACATATTATGCAATGTAGCCAAATTCAATAAATGTTTCGGTGACCATTTAGTCAGTGATAAAGAAGTTGGCAATGATGACAGGGTGGTGGTTGGCGTTGTTGGCGGCATTGGTGTCGGACTGGTTGTAGTATGTGAACTGCGTGACATATAACTACTACTACTAAGTAAAGATTGTTCCACAAAGTGTTGATTAGAACTAGTTTTATGATGATGATGCTGCTGCTGATGATGATGATAGGCGGTCAACTGATCAATCGATGGTGGTTGTCTACCACCAATCTGTGGTGATAGAATAGAATCAATATTAGGTGTATAATTTGACCATAGACTAGTACTGATAATACTACTACTATCATTATTATCAGTAGTATTAGTAGTGGTACTGTGAATAGGATATAATCCACTGATGACATCATTTGCTGCCGATGTATGACAATGCTTCGATTTACAATGGACAGGTAAATTTGAATGTTGACATGAGGATACTGTTGTTATTGACGGCGGTGTTGTTGTTGATGTCGTCATAGTTATAGAAGTAGGATTAGGTTTTTTTGAGCTGTTGTTCACTGGAGTTGGTGATGATCGAGGTGATATGGGACAATTAGTCTCTTCTTCAAATTCTGTATCAGTTAAGAAACGAATACATTTTTTCTTTCGTCTATAAAAAAATAAAACAATTAGACAATCACACAAATAGAAATTACAACACGTTAAATGCAATGACAATACGAATACTGGCGAACTGTAAAATCAGTGTTGTCGTGTCTTGTTCAATGAGATCGTCATCATCGAGCTTTATATACTCTCTAATCTAATATACATGGATATTATTATTTGGAAAAAGCTTTAACCGAAATCAAGACAGTAACTCAAGTTTTTATTAGTCAGTCAGTGTTATGCATGAACGTCTCAACATGTCATTTGATAGGCTTGAACTATGACGAGTTTTCTTTAGTCGGAGAACGTGGATTGAGCGACACGACAGGTTACTCTAATCCAATTGTCTGAAACCCCTATTAAGTTAAAGAAGAAGACTTGTTATGAAGTAGAACATGTATTCTACAAGCATCCAGTAAGTACGAGGTCTGAGTTCAGAGGTGAATCAGGATCCTGGACTAGGGATCCGGGTCATAAAACGTTACAGATAATGCGCAATTATACAGTTAAGTCGAATACGAAACAACATTGAAGTACGTGACATTGATAGCTAGGACGACCATAATATTGGCCAGTAGGGATTGACCAATAGAATTAGATTTACAAAAATAATTCTCTTAGGATATTTGATGAATATCCTAACAGTCAGTCAGCCAAAACGTAGAACTTCGTACGTACGTACGTACATCACCAGATGTACTTAGCAAACAACCACATTAGCACACACAGATCGAATTGTGAATTCAAATTCCATAGTACTAGTGTGGTGTGAGCTACTTATAAGTAGTATATGACGTGAGTGTAAACGTAATGTCTGGCAGCAGAAGATGGAGGGAGATCAAGAAAGGAAGAGTTAGAAGAACACAATGGAATTTGTATGAAACGCATGAATAGTGACAATCGATTGATGTTGTTTGCAACAGGAACAGTCCAGTTCGATATGATGAACTGATATTTTGCAAATTAACGATTTACGATATGGTTTTCCGATTTTACTGAGTAACTGTGTAATTTTCGTTAAATACAATTCGGTTGCCCCACCTGTGTTCTCCTTCACTACACTAGAGGTAGTAGAAGTATTAGCGGCAATCTCGAGGTCCTCAATCAGGTAGGTAGTCTACATCTATCAGCATGGCTCAGTCCATTTGTCAGTGACTTCATAGATTTCTGCCGTCTTTTGGTTTGACCGCCCCTAGCTTTCCTCCCACCTACTCCTACACGGCGAAACATAGTTGGATATGCGTAATACATGTCACAATCACCTAACTACTTCATTTATTGATATATCATCCTTACCTAATGACCGTTTCCTAACAACAACATTGCTTATTCGATGGTCTCACGGGTAAACGAGCAATGCTTCGAAGACATTTACTTTTATTGACCATGTTTTGCATCCGTAAATTAGGACGGAGTGAACTGCTGCCCAGTAGACTTGTTCTTAATTTATCAGATGAATATCTCTCTTTTAAGTCAATTTGGCAAAGGCCAGCCGAGCCTTCTGTATGCGTGGAAAAAAGAAGGAACAAGGGTATCACAAATTTTTTTGTGAACACCCCATAAATTGGAGTTGTATGTTCAGATTCCTAATGGCTACTGCTTTATATGTATGTGGGAGACAGGATTGAACTCCGTCAGGAAAGGATGCAGGTATACGAGAAGAATCACTCGAAATAATTCAAGTTTTATCTACAATATGACCGCTATCAATCAGGTGTGCCAAGATAAGGTTGAGTATTGTTTTTATCTAACGGCTCAGAAACCATGCCTGGAGATGTTCATTCATTGGTTGGTTAGGTTGACTAATAGTACGCCCCAATATAACTATCGACATAGGAGTAGCTGATTTGATAAATGCACAATGAGTGCAATAACTCAGGTAATTTATCCTTCGTTTGAATAGACATCAGTGATCGACTTGAGAAAGTGTTACGCATGCGCGTAAATATGTCATTAGAGATGCTTGACCTATTAAGAGTTTACCTTGATTGGAAAACGACAGCGAGGATCGAGGATTTGGCGACACAATATGCTACTCTAATCCGATTTTCCCAAAAGCCATTGAGTAAAAGACAAAGACTTGATATGAAGTAGAAGATGTAGTCTACAAGCATCCAGAGAGTACGAGGTCCGAGTCCAGAAGAAGATGAGGATCCTGGACTAAGGATCCGGGTCATAAAATGTTACGGATAATGCGTATTTATACAGTTAGGTCGAATAGGAACCAACATTGAAGTCTGTGACATCGACATTTAGGACGCCCAATAGGAAACAACATTGAAGTACGTGACATTGATAGCTAGGACGACTATAATACTAACCAATAGGAATAGACCAACTGAATTAGACTGACAAGTACTTGTCTTAGGATATTGGATAAATATCCTAACAGAAATTCAACGCTTTCAACATATGTGTTAGTACATGAAGGTATCTAAGTATTTATATACAACACATAAACAATTGAATTTGTGTGAGTTAGGTTACAGCTCGAAAAAGGTCGAATTCATCACATACGTACGTACGTACATAGCAGAGCAAGGTTAGGAGATGCAATCTCATGATAGACATTGACAAACAAATAGATTCAGAAAATATTACAAGAACCCATGTTCCCTATCGGTTTGATATCGAGGTTCTTCAACCCTCCTACGTTGATACCAGTCCAAAACCTCGCGGGTAATTAATATTTCATCCTCTTAGTTTCGTAAACTACCACAAGAATCAGAAGACAGTGTGAGTAGGACTTTGTTGGCAAATCAACTCTCATATCAATCACACATCAAAGATGACATTAAAATAACTGACGCGCGAAGAAAAACCAAAATAAACCTTCTAGAAATCAATGGAATAATGCGGTATATTGAATAAGGACTCTCCACAGTAATTAAAAACTTTTCAATGCACCCTATCAGAAAAATAAAACGGGGAGGGAATAGTCTGAATATTACCAACTTTATTGGCTACGTTCAATTCGAAGTAGGGCTCATCAATTTAGTGGCCCGTTATCTAACTCCAATTTGTACAAACAATCGAGTATACTATGAAATGATAAATCTTCCCTTCAATTTCTGTATATCATGAGACTTAGGCGAACCGTGTTTATAAGCGACGGCAGTAATAAGAATCAGTTGGATGAGATTATTTCATGCAACTGTGCACGTAGACAGACATGAGAATACAAAGCGTAAAAGAAAACTGGAGTAGGCTAATGGGCGGACAAGAAAACGTGAATTAGTTTTTCCGAAAGCTAAGAGACGAGCCCTGTTGGCTGCTCAACATAATTCGTACACACACTGCTCTACACAAACAGAAAAGGGTAATAATATTTCGTTGCTTACTTTTTTTAAATAAATTCTCTAGTCAAAATATGTTCAAAGATTAACTGTTGTATACGATGAATTATGTTAGAATTTTTAGTGTTGAAATGTGAACTTGTTAAACCAATTCAGGTGGTAAATTTCTATTAGCCAGATATACTACTTATATAATTTGAAAGTAACAATAACACAAGACGGTAGGTATTGAACAAGTTTCACAACACAAATAGTCAACACAAGAGTTTCATTATTATTATTAGTTTGAGATGGAAAATATTCATGGTAGAATATGCTTTACAGGTATCATGGAGTTCAGAATTTTTGTACATTTAAACAGTAACCTCAATATAAAGCCAGTCTCGTGTGCTGTTACGAGTATGAGGGCGGATGTCGATTCCCGGCTACCCACACCTGAAAAGGAATGTGGAGTAACGTTGATCTTAGTGATCTGGACTGTGATCACAGAGCCTAACGGACAACTGCTTAAAGCCGATGGTCACGCATGACCTTTATATAGGATGCTTTTGAAGAGTTAAATCTGCTCATTGAATGGCCCTACCGCCGGAGGCGAAAATCCATGGAGCAAGATGAAGGGGTCGACCTTTTCTATTCCCTTCCTTCCGTTTTGAGAAGGCAACATCGCTGCAGATGCTGGTTGGCGTCAAAGGAAACAACTCTCTGCACTCATCAGTACGACTTCAACCTCAGACCTTGAGTTGCTGCTTTCAGTCTTACCATTCTTCAACAGACCTGTCTGGTATGGTAGGACCTATAAAAAACGTATGTTCCAGCCAATATAGCTCGGTTGGGTCATCACGATAGGTAAGCCTGACCACCGCGTCAAGGTAGCAGCTACGGTCGGGTCAATATAAAGATTATATATATATATATATATATATATATACCAAAGAAATATGATTTGTAGGCACATCCCACTGATGAATGCCGAAATAGGACAAAACCAAAATAATGTTATGTATTTTCAGTCGGGAATAAACAAGAAAAAGACATCTACGTGATATCAGAAGCAAAGGAAAAAAACCATGACAATGTGGGACAAATGTTTACAATTTACCCATAGAATTACAAAGTATCAGTGAGCTATAACAACCTAAAAAGTCTAAATAGTAAACGCATTCAAAAAGAAAACAAGATAGAATAATTCCTAATTATTTTCTCAGATACAAAGAAATGTTAACTATGCAACTGATCGTTAGGAAATGAGTTCTAGGTAAGGATGGCGAATCAATAGATGAAGCATTGAAACTTCATCAGTTGACATGGTTGGAACATGTGTTACGTATGCCTAACCACCGACTGCCTCGACGAGCTATGTTTTGAAGTGTAGGATTAGGTTGGAAGAAAGTTAGGGGCGGCCAGACCAAAACATGGCAGAAATCCATGAAGTCACTGACAAGTGGACTGAGTCATGTTGGTAGATGTAGACTACCTGGTTGGGGTCCGCGAGACGAAAGTCACCGATGGTTAGAAGAGACCTTGAACGACATGGCAATCTATTCAGGTTGCCAAACCACGTCAACACAGAGACGTAACTGTCAGTTCAAATACAAGAGTGATAGCAATAGTACAACTATTAGCAGTAATAGAGAAGATTAGGGAGTGAAGATATGATTCGACAAGTATAATTCAGTGAGATAAGTTTAGAAAGACAAATGTAGAG